CCCCCCCCCCCCCCCCCGGGGTAGCCTATAGCTACTGATGATTGCAGTGTAACAGCCTATAGAGAATGAGTTGATAGTGTTATTCCTGTTTCCAAATTCCCATATGTAAATATCACCAAAAATAAATAAATCATGTCTTAATAGGAAGAGCAAGAATTAGTCCTTGATGCCTTCCTGGTGTTAGTAGAAGTGAAGAGAGCTGAAAAATACGGCTGCTGGTCAAAAAAGTGTCCAAAGAGAAGGCAAATTTTCCAGTAGAAATGTGAAATGGAAAACCTTCAATAAGAAATAGGAATATTTTTACCTGGAAATGATGTTAAGATCCTGGAAGTTTAGTCTAGGGTGTAAATGATTCCCTTCTCATCTGACCTGTCCAGCCTGGTCAGAATGCACATCTCATCATGGGACTCGTGATCTCCTCTGCCCGGAGGATGCAATTACTGTGTAATGGAAGGTCGTCTGGTCTGCTGTAGCCAGGGAGGACGATCTGTGGCAGCTGAAGTACAGTGTCATCTAACAGGATAAAAATTGGCATGTTTTGAAATGTTTTGAGCATTTTGGCTTTGTTCTTTGGGTGAAACTTTTAATCTGTGGCAGGTAGATACATAACATGAAATTTCACGCTCTCTTTTTTTTTTTTTTATGTACCTAACTTTACTTCGAAAAAGCTCTTTCAAAGGAGCGTTGTAGTCACTGTACTATCTTGTCAACTTCTCGCAGGATCAACTCTTAAAGCCTTTTTAAAACAATACAGTCCGTCCTTTCTTGACATGGTTTTCTACTTCTGTTACAAAATAAGCTGCAGTAGTGTTAGCAACTCTTACGCTATAGCTACCCATGCACGCTGGTGTAAACCATTTGCCTGCTGTGCTCTGTCTTCTAAAATACTATGTAAAAAGCACTGGAATCTCATAAGTAAAATGAGATATGTGAAGTCTGATATGCTAGAATTATTTTTTCAAATAGCACATGACTTCACAAAGCAAGCATATTATCTTTGAATAATCTGCTGTATGTCTACCAGTAAAGTAGTACTGAGGTTATTCACTAGATATTCAAAGTAATGCAAGTTTTTCAGTGAAAGCATATTTCAAATTGTTGTCAAGATTTCTATTGATTTCTCTTTTTACACAGATGCAGTCTATACTATTGCACACTTTCTGCCATGTTAACTTTCTGTTTGCTGTTCAGGTAGAGAAATAACAGCAGAAACCTTTATGGAGAAATTGGATAATGGTGCCTTGCTTTGTCGGTTAGCTGAGACCCTGCAGGAGAAATTTAAAGAAAACAGCTTTGATGCAAACAAGCCTGCCAAAGTAAGTGTCGGTCAATGTTCTAGCATGTATTACCATAATCTGAGGTATCTGACTGTTTTGGTGCTGAACTTTTTTGTGCAATTAAGAGACTTCATTTGTGGAGGCTCTGTAAATGGGCAGGGAGGTAATTGCTCTGTGTAGAAAAATTACAATATAAAATTGGGGGAATTGATACTACTTGGGTAATTATTAAGGTAACTATGAGAGGCAGTTAATAAAACAATGACTTCTAATATGTGGAGGATAAGACATAGAACAAGATCTTGCAGTGTGATGTGGTAGCTAATAGAGAAAATCTGATCCTTGTATTTATTTGCAAGGGGAATATTAAGTAGCTGTGGGAGGTGCCTTTTCCTCCATAAACAGCTCTAGGGAGGCCAATAATAAAATTCTATAGCTAGTTTTGGTGCCTTGAGTTTAAAGGTCCTTTTGGTGTGCTGGAAGGGGTTCTAGAAAGAGTTGCAGGAATGATGTGGAAAATGTGAACCCTTAGAATATACTGAAGAGCTTTGCAAAGATCAGGTTAAGATCTTGCTTGACTGCAACTTCCCTTTAAGTTATTTTCATAGGACGGTCTTATTGGGAGAAATTCAAGAGTGCAGCAAGTTTCTTTCTGGGAGAAGTTAAATTAAGTCGTTGATACATTAATGCGTTTACTGTGAAACTGTTTTTATTTTTTGTATTGAATTCAGATACTTCTTCCTTGTAAGCTGAAACGGGCAGATACACAGCGGGTAAAAAAGACCCCAAGAGCAGAAATCACATAATGCATCTTCTATTCTTGGTGTTTTCATAACTAGTCTATAGCAGAAATTACGGCCCGGCATAAATTTTATCGGCAGTTCTGAGAACTGACAGCCTTGTGTCAGCTGCAGCTGCATAAGTTGTTTTTCTTGGTTTCAAGCTCATAATTGTTGTTGCAGAAGAAATTGTCTGGACTGAGGCAGGCTTTATTTATTTAATTAATTATTTTTAACCTTCTGTGGTTTGAGGTGGGGCAGGGGCTATGCAGGGAGGTGGTGTTTTCTTGCTTTGCATTTGTTGGGTTTTTTTCCTAAAGAAAAAGGAAGAGATAGGTGGGAAGGAAGATAAGTAAAGTAGAGAAAGAAAGAATCCTACCTCCACAAAGGAGGAAAAGACAGCTGGAACTCATATTTCATATTTCAAATTATAATCAGGGTTTGGTTAGTGGAAGCACTGGATGACTTCTGAGTTCCTCCTTATAGTACGGTCCAGCTTGTCTTCACCTAAGGGGTGGCCTGTTAGTGTCATGGTAGCTCCCAAGTTGAGAAAACACTTATGGCAGTCTTTTTCGATTGAGCCTAGGAACTAGCTAGGCAGAAAGAAGCGTTACTTGTTGTTTTGGGTTTTTTCCCCTTAACAAACAAACAAATCAACAAAAGGTACCATTATTGACCAAAAACTACTAAAAGGTTCAGTGAATACCCTAAAGGTACACTTGGCTACATAGTTCTAAAACATTCCCTTTTCATATCTTGCCCGGCTGGCATACTAGAAAATCAAATCACAAAGTGTAAAGCATTTTTTTACAGACTGACATCTCAGAAAGCCATGTCTGTTTAATATAAAATTATCAGGAAAAATAATAGTCATAAATTCTACTACAAAGTTGTAGTGAATATTGAAAAATTCAAATAATATGTTTTTCTTAGATATCTAACTACTGCTTTGGGGGCTTTTGGTTGGTTTGGGGTTTTTGTTTTGTTTTGTTCGGTGTTTTTTGTATCATCAGACTTTTGCCTGATGGTGGCTCATTTGGAGAAAGCTACCGTTTGGATAGATAACCCAGAAATGTACCAATGTTTGGTACTTCTGTGCTTTGCCACTGAAAAGAGGTTGACCTCCTTTCTTGTATTGACTTCCTCAGCTGAGAATACGGCCTTCTTTCAGTTAGCTGATCCCCTTTTTTGAACCTAAGTTACATTAGAAGCCAATTAGACATTTGTAATCCCATATGTTGTAATTATTTAGCTTTCTTGGTCTTTTATTTGTCAAACTGGTATAACAGACAATGCAATTAAAGTGAAAAAATTCTGCTCCACTGCTATTTTCTTAATGTATGTTATTTCATACTTGGTATAGTAAGAATTCAAAGAAATGGCAGAGTAATAGATTTGTGTCATTGTAGACTGCTAGGGAGCTATTAATCCTTTCAGATTTTAATTCCCTGTGTAGCAGTCCTGGGCAATAGGACTAGTCTATACATTGGAAAATCTGACTTGTGGTTCCAAGGAAATTTATAAGACGATTATACTGTATGAAATTTAGCATAGTAAGAATTCCACAATCCTCCCCTGAATCATTATTATGCACTCTGTTAATAATACATGTGGAATTTTGAAGCCACTTGGCCATTTCTCTGTGCGCAGGAAAACAGAAACATTATGGTCTTTCACCCAGGTGCCCTGGTGACTTCACTGGCAGCTGGAAGAAGCTGCTGACTTCTGTAGAGTTCAGCCTCTATCAAAATAGATAACATACTTTTCTATCCATATATGTAATTTGTAATTTTTTTAGATAGAAGCAGACTGATATAAAATGACTGGCTGCCAGAAGGATCAGCTTGCAGGGAGCACCAGGTTGCAGCTGAGTGAGGGAGACAGGATAAGGCTACAGATAATAGGGAGTGTGTGTGTGTGTAATCTTACTAAGTCCCTCCACAAGCTTGAAGATTTGGTCTGTTTTCATAAGTGAAGTTTTACCTTGTATGTGAACTACTTCCTGGATGGCAAAACTCCATAAAATATTTTGGTCTTAGAGGAAGATGATAATCCTGCTCTGCTTGATATGTACTACTGATTACGAATTGTACAGCTCTTTGGGGCTGTCTGGCCAGTTTAGCAGCTATAGCAACACATGTAGGAAGACATTAAAAACTAATATTGCATACACTGACTCATCAGTTGTTTGCTGCAATTCCTTAAGTTCATATTGCAATACTGTACAGAATGGCAGAGGTTAAATCCTATTGCTTCTGGGTTAACTGCTTGTGCAATATGTTTCTAGTTGCTGTCAGTTTTGCAGTTTGTTTCTTAACAGAACTGTGTCATTCCCTTTCTTATTAGGGAGGACTGAACTTTCGTCAGCTTTCAAGGACCCCCTAGGTCAACATCAGCCTTTTTCAGTGTGGAATAAATCAGGAAAGCATAAACCAAAGAAGCGGTGCATCCCCAAATACCGTGTTTTCCAAATCTGGAAGGAAGATGGTAGTTTTGATATAAACACTTCCTTTTTGTGTCATGTGGAGACACTTGTGGATGCTGGGGACATTTTCAAAAGGTTTAGGAAACTACTGGTAATATGACTTGGGAATACAGTTTTAAGAAACTGAAAAGGAGATTAAAAGGTGTGTGGTGCAAAAGTGAAGTCTTCTTTCCTTAAGAGTCAGAGGAAGGCAATGAAGGAGTAACTTTTTATGAGTGAAGGAGATGAGTGGAGTAGCTTTTTATGAGTGACTGGGTAGGTTAGGATTCTTAGCGTTGAAAGAGGTAGCATGAGGGCATATGATGGAACCTGCAAAATCAGGAATGGCACAGTAGATGTTAATTCTTTTCTAGACAAAAACTATGGGATTTCGAACGAAACTAATAGGAGCCAAACAAAAGGGGGTCCTTGTTTACGAACCGGTTGGAAATTTCTTGCCAATGAGTGTTAAAGTTTACCTGGGTTCAAGAAAACACTGAATAAGGTAATGGAAGAGAAGGCTGAATACACAGGAACCCCATCTAGAATCATAGAATCATTTAGGTTGGAAAAGACCTTCAAGATCATTGAGTCCAACCATCATCCATGCCCACTAAACCATGTTATGGAGTACCTCGTCTATGCACTTTTTGAATACCTCCAGGGATGGTGACTCAACCACTTCCCTGGGTGGCCTACTCCAATGTCTGACAACCCTCTTAGTAAAGAAATTTTTCCTGATGTCCAGCCTATCTAGATGAGGAAGTCCCTGTATCTGAAAGTGGTTGGACCTTGAGAAGGTATTGGGAGGTGTAACATGTTTGCTGTGGTCTTAGTCTTCCCTAGATACTTACGGCCAGTCTGCATCTGGGTTAGATGAACCTTTAGCTGACCCAGTAGGGTCACTCTTACATTCTATGTGTTTTTACTTCTTGGGGCTGAATACTTTGCTGGTTGTGCAGGTGGACATGGGCAAATGTATCCTTTCACAAGGGTCAAGCTTCAAAGAAATTGTTTTAAATTAAATTTGTACTTTTTGTTTCTGTATAAAGGTGCCTCTTCAGGACTGAATCCCTGCAGCCAAAAATAGCACCTGAGTCACGCTCTGCTTTGGTATCTGTTATCCAGGGGAGTAATGGGTGACTGAGAGCACTGGAGTTTGGCAGCCTCTTGTGCCATTTACGCAGTCTCTGCTCATTGCCCTCCTGAGCTTAATGCCATAACAAGCACTTTTGGATATCATAATAGATACTCTGAATGTGTCCTGCACAAGTCTAGCTCCCTGACGTTGTCGTGTTTGATTGTTAATCATTCAGTAATAAGTTATTAAAAGCATTTCAGTTTCTAAAGATGAAGCATTTAACAGTTGTTCATTTGCAAACCCCAGAAGACAGTGTTCTTCATTGTTAAGCAGCTAAACGGTGCTTTAAAATCTGTCAATTCTGAAAACATTGATGTTGTACCTTATCCTTTGCTTCAGACAGACAAAACGTTGAGTTTAAATGAAAATGGAAATTTTAAACAGGGAGGGCAGTATTAGATTGGTGTGACTGTATGATATATTTTTAAAGAAGTCATTTTTTCCCCTTTTTGGAGATTTTACAGTCATAAATAAGTCTAATAATGTACATTTTTGTAAATGACAAGGAGATGACTGATATCGATCTTAATAAATGTTCAAGATTTGTATGGTAGTAAGTTGTTGGAACTACCTGTGCTGCTGCTGCTAATGATCTACTGTCTAGAAACTACAGACTTATTATTATAGCAGGAGTTATTCCGTAAAAGTGATTTCA